ATACTGTAAATAGACATCCACTTTATATAATAAAATACATTCATAACCCATATATAGTAAACAGTGTGGGACTTCACTATCACTGTATGAGGTAAGAATTAACAGCTTTTTATCACATTTACACAACACTTTATGAATACAAGTAATGAACCAATCTTAAATATGGCATGGAATGTGTTTCCTTTTTTAGTTTTGATTTTGAGCAGCAAAATTGGTGCTCACCAGGAATGCATAAGCAAAATTGCAAGTTTTCACTTGAAAGAATAGTGACCAATCTTGGGATTTTTTTCTGTTAAAGTTTCAAATACAGTAGTGTGTAAATTGAATACACTTAATCTTCAACATGTTTAGTGCTACTTTTGTAAGTGGCCTGCTGTATGGCCGTAGTACAAACTAGGGCTAAGTGATTATGGAAAATAATTGATAATCCATCACCCCAAAATTGCGATGGCAATTTAATTTCCAATTATTTTTTGACAAGGTCCTCTTCTCATGTGTTTTTCAACAAACACTGACAATGTTTACATGCTGTCAATATTCGGTCAAAATTCAGGTTTTTGAAAAATTCGGGATAACCCGTTTTCATGCGTTCCATTTATTCCCATATACATCCCATCTGCTAGATGCCACGCCTCAGACAGCCTTTCCTGCCATTGCCCCACTGCCTCCTGACACTTCACGGCAGATGGTGCGGGGTCCGTGGAACAAGGACTTCAGCTTATATGAAGAGTACAAACTGCGGCGCAATGAGCTACGCCGGCGAAGCCTTAATCGACGGCGAGAGCTGGAAAAAACGCTGCCTCAGCCTCTGCTGGCCGATCTGGTGAGTGAGTAGTTTCTTACTGATGTCATTTGTGAGAAGTGTTTCCCATTGTGAGAAGTGTTTCCCAAACCTTAAGACAAGGCGCACACAGGACATATCAAGCTATAAAACCCCTGATTAAAAACAAAAACAAAAAACAACATCAACTGGGTTGTGGCTTAATTTAATCACATTCAAATTCATGGGAGTTGGCACACACACTGGTCACCGTTTTAAATTAGCCCCAGATAAAAGTTTTCAATTAGCAGGGTTTTTTCTGGCTCAAATTAAGGCAGAGGTGGGACCATCCTGACTAGGCGCCATGACGAGCATGTATTCTGTAAATTCAACAGACCCGTTTGTAATATACCTTAGTTAAGAGTTCCAATATGAAGATGACTATTATCACGTTAAAGCATTCTTTTATCAAAACCGAGATGAGGAGAATGATGGACTCATAGCTCATGTTGTGAGGCCACTTTTGTTTGAGACACACATAGATTATTTCGACGCAGCCTTCAAGTGCTCTGTGGTCCGTGCATTGCAGTGCCCTCCGTTTAAAAAAAATAAAATTCTTAATGTATCTATCTGAACTATGATTGTAGTTTTTGTAACAGTGTTTTTATGTACTACCATCCATATACTTCTCCTTCTCTTCTCCTGCTTTGTAAATGGCCGTCACCTCATGTATTTTTAATGTGTCCAGCCTGTAGTTGGTTGATGCGTCTCACAAGGGCGGCAGCGATTGCCTGCTGTGTTGGGGCGCAGTGTTTTTGGCATAACTAACAGTGCATGCCTTCCTCCGTATGCCTGAGCCAGGTAACTGCTTGTCAAAGCCACTGCCTCGTGTGTCTTTAAGAGCGATAAAAAAGAATGTTTCAATCATGTACATGTTGACATAACGACAGCTTTATGCTGTGTTGAGCGATATCAATCGGTCTGGCTGGGAGCGGCACATAATTAGCAGGAGGTGGCAGCAGGAAAAACCCCGTGTTCGGCTTTTCCTGCTTTTGTTTTTTTCTTTCTGGTAGAAGCCTGAAGGTTTTATGTTTAGAATAAAAATCGAAATCTTCAACTGTATTGCACAACACTGCTGAAGCACAGAGGTAGCTGTATAATACTGAAATACCAGTAAGTGTTCACAAAATGCAGTCAGATTTCTGCCTACCTGATGATTCCTCCTGGCACATGTGGTTGTCAATCGCTGTTGGTGAGCTTATTTTGATTTTTTTTTGTTAGGTACGGGAGCGGCGAGAAAAGACCAGACTGAGGGTGGCCAGATGGCGGGCAAAGCGGAAACTGCAGGCTTGTCTCAACCAGGTTCAGGTTGGTGTAGATGCCTTGAGTCTGTATGAGATGACATCAGCCAGGGCTGACACACAGCATCCTTTGCCGGTGATACAGTAACAGTACTTACTTGCATCCTTATCATTAAGAACATGCTCATTTCCAGACTCAAGGTGGCGCAGTGGCTCTTTCCAAGGATGGTTTCCCAGTCAGTGGTCCTCAGCAACACAAAGCATCTGGTGGTAAGATGAGCCCCTAGCTCTAATTGTCTAATTCAGTTGCAGTGGTGCCATTTGTACCTTAGACGCAAGTAATAAAATGAATTAAAGCTGCAAACTCAATTTGCTGACTCCCTTGCAGCCCCTATTTCAGGGGTGTCAAACTTGTTTTTAATGTGGACTACACTGCAGTTTTGGTTACCCTCAGCGGGTCAGTTAGTACAATAATGTCAGGTAAATGTCATTTAGAATTATTGTGCTATAAAAAAGGAATAATGGCATTTGTTATTGCTTAGACTCCATGTGAAATGCCCGATAGAGGCTGGTCAAAGGTTTGAAGCTTAGAAGAGGTCAAATTAAGTTCACCTGCAAAGGTAACTGCATTTTAGGCTCATCCTGAATTTCTAATGTGTACTCTTTTCAGCATCCACTTCCAGTCCGCTCAACAATGTGGTTATCTCTGCAGTCACGAATTTCCCATTCGTCACGCCGACGTCGTCGTCCTCCCTGTTCCTGAGGGGCCCGAATATGGCCACACAGGTTGATCAACACACGTCGATGTCAGCATCAAATTCGTCTGCCACCTATCCGCAGGTTAGCATATCGCAACAGAGCAAGTCTCTGATGGACGCCAACGTCGATTCATGAAAATCCAGGCTTAGCTACCATTGTTTGTCTGGCAATGGCACCCCGGACACTTCTTTATGTGTAGTTTAAACACTGAATGCCATTCATATCCTGTTGCGCCGAACACATTCACTTCACAAAGATAATTTGTATCGTAGGGATGGGGTGTTAGTCAATTTTGAAATGTAAAGTAATGAATAGGCAATCCTGTATTTTTTCATTTCAAACATTTTATATGGCAAAAAATACATTCATTCTTTTTTTAAAAGTTATTCGTCAGAAATATTTCCCAAGAATTCTAACAATTTAACATGAGATGCTTTGTTTAAAAAAAGAAAAAAGTTCCAGAAGAACAGCGCCCTCTCCTGGTTGCTGGCACTTATTTTGCCTCCATTGAGATGACTTCATAGACCAGAGACAGGCAACTGGCAACCCACGAGTGCACACTCAGAGTGGCCCTTGATTCATTTGTGAAAATAAATTGTTTACTGTAGCGAAAGAGTTTTAAGTTTTAGTGAAAGTGTTTGCCATTGGATAGGGCACCATCAAACCGAAAACTGTCCTGTGCTTCTGTATCAGAGAAGAAGAGAGGAGTGCTTTATCTCCCGCATTAGGTCAAAAAATTGTGTCTTTCAGGTAAAATAAGAAGCAGATTTTATGTTCACCCAATTTAAACCAAAGTCCCTAGTTTGCTTAGAGAGACTATTAGCCATGAAATTTTGCAACCTACATTGCCACCACAACATTGATCTCAAGAGTACACAAAACGCCATTCCCACCACCCACACACACGTGCATGCACACAAAAAACGTTGACAGTTTGTTTTGAAGGCCATTAGGAGTTACAAAAATTCACATTGAAATCAAATCACAGTATGTGGTTGGTTTTGGTTTGCTTTATTGCTTTGTAGTTGATCAGTACATTTGAGCATGCAAGATATGAAGATATTCTTTTGTCTATTGGTCTAATAAAAAACAAAAAACAGATATGTACATATTTTTTGTCCATATTTAAAATGGCATTTTTGTCCAACATCTGGTTTGTCATACATCTCGTTCTTTGTAACCCTCCATTAGCGCTGACAAAAAATTGGCCCCCCTCCATCGTTTAAGTTGCCCATCCCTGACATAGAGTACATAGACGCTAAACTTTACTTTCCTGTTGAAACAAGACCCACAAATTTTAGAAATGCTTCAATGAAACTTTTAAGTCACCTTTAGCTCAGGTGACTCCTGACCAACTATTCAGTAGGAGGAGCTATATAACCCACAGTCCTTCACGTCAACTATATTCACAGCAACAGACTACCAACAGACATTGCGAAGACGCTCAAGTTTCACACTATAGACTTAAAAAGTGCAGAACGCTATATATGAATTTGCATCAAGAAAAGGCTTACGGAACAGTAGCGTTGCCTCAACAATTGTAAGACTCACATTCCAATCCATAGAGAAAATAAAAGCTGTCAACTCTAAATTTAAAAAGACAAATTGTAAAGGATTAAACTTTCAATGAGAGGAAAAGGACAAAAAGAAAAAGCAATGCTTACCATTGCACAATGACCAATTTCAACCTGCTATGCTTTCAGATGTTTGAATGGAAGCAACTTTTCTCTCTTTGATTCAGTGACGCATTCTTAACAAAGATAGAGAAAAGGTTCGGAGATTTGACTTTCTGAATAGGCCCTCTGCCTTGAGAGCTGAATTATACATCGTCAGTGCCGCCATATTGTATGTGGTATAGATACAATGAGCGATCAATGAAGATGCCTCATTCATTTGGTGCCCGGTGATGTGCACATTGCATCCGGAAAGTAGTCACAGTGCGAACGCACTTCACTTTTCCCGCATTTTATGTTACAGCCCAATTTCAAAATTGAATTAATTATTATACACATTTTTCCTTCAAACATATACGTACATTGACAACATGAAACGTTAAAAAATATATATATATTTTTTGCTAATTTATTTTAAAAAATAAAATAAGAAATCATATGTACATAAATATACTTTTACTGGACCCTTGTCAATGTAATAGGCCCATTTTCTTGGAAATTTGTGTAGGCTGAAAATGTGAGTTGCATATTTTTGGGGTGATTGTGACTGGCCTGAATTCACTGCTCGCTTAGCCTGTAGATCTGATTAAAACGTTGGGTGTTTCAAATCTCGAGGAACTCAATTTTCTAACAGAGTATTACGTACGGGCAAGTAGACAAGGGGGTGATGTAAATCCCTTGGCTTGTTCTAAACAAAGCGAAACTGTACCGCATTCGCTGGGCTGGAACTCATCTGGCGATCGGTAGGGATGAAATACAAATTCCCAAATAATTAATAAATGTACTATAATTACATCATTTATGCCCATCCCTGATAATGTCGCACCTCTCTTCTTCACTTTGTGTCTTTGGTGAGCATCGAAAACCTTCGAGTATTGTTCAACTGTTATCAGATGCGCACACCGACTGTCAAATGACTAACATAATTTTTTAGATGAAATGTGTGCAGAAACTAAACATGTTAACTGTTTTGTGTATTATGTTGACTGAATCCCATTAAAATGTGCTGTGCGAGTAACGTGCGTGTTCATTCAGTGTTATTTTTCCCCAGGAAATTGTTAATCGATTCCTTTTGATGCTCTTTTATATTGACAGAAATGACAAAAACTGGGTTTACCGCTATGAGTAAATCTTTATTTTTCCAACAATAATACATTTAACTGCCCAAAAAAAAACAGACCGTGACAAATAAAGTGACCACTGGTCACTTTAATTCTGCTTGATACTTTGCACATTGTCTCACAGTTGTCACTGGGTGGTACCACCGCACTACGGTTCACTTACATTACGAAATGTCCTTCCATACCTATTTGTCATGTCCTTGTTTATGATGATACTAATGCAGCGTGTTATACCGGAGACAAATTCCTTGTGTGTTCTACATACTTGGCCAATAAAGATGATTCGGATTCTGATAATTTCCATAATTTTTTTTCATGTGCATGCAGGTATTATCCATTAACTATTTTTTGAGATATGGCACCCGGCAGTGTGTAGAGTAACAGGGCCAGGAAGAGCGCTGTGATCAGTAGCACCAGAGCGATAATGATGTACTTCTTGTAGTTCCGCCACACCAGGTGGAAGAAACACTTGAAGGGGTTGACGAACCACGAGAAGGAGGTGTCGGGACGGCTGGGAGCGGGCACACAAAGAGGAAAGGATGATGTCCAGGTTTTGTTTCCCGCCATTTACTTTGTTTGCTGGTTTTTATGACAGCCCGTTAAGGTTGACTACAAGTTAACTGTACACTCTGTTGAACTAATGAACTATGAACACAAGTGAAAGAATTAGTTCAGTGGGGAGTACCGGCAGCGGGGTTTCACTATAACGTGTAAGTGTTTGGATTCTTACTTGGGTTTGGGCAGCGGTTCTGGTTCCTTGCGGGCTCGCCCCACTGGGTTCTTCTCAGCCTCTTCAGCTGTCACAAGGTGAAACTCTGCCTCCACCTTCCCCTAGTGAGGTAATTGGACAACACCTGTTAGTCAATTCTACTGAGCTTTATGGATTTGTTTCTCAGTCCTTCGGGGATGTGCAATCTTAAGGTTAGCACACCGTCAACTCCCCAGACTTGCTGAAAGGCCACCATCCTCTGGACCTCTTCTGCTGGAAGATGGAGATCCTCTCTGTCCCGTCCGTGAAGACGTCCACTTTGCAAGATTTGGCTGTCTTTGCTCCACGCGGGAAGCTGTGGAGGTCTAACTCCACCGTGCCTGAGCACGCACATGCAAGCAGGGCGTTAAATGACAACATTTTGAAGCTCCGTTGGCATGCTGGGCGTACCGAGGAAGTCGTCGGAGGAGAGCGTCTCAAAGTCCCACACCTGAAGACTCAGGATGGCGGGCAGCTTCTGTTCTGTTTTGTCCAGGGAGAAAATGCTGTCTCGCTTCTTTACCACAACTACCTATAAGAAGGTGATTTGTCAGAAGAAATACGAAAACAAATTCAGGTTGTTGTGTCAATTCCTTATGTGTTTTTTGACTAAGGCATGCAAGAAACAGATTAAGGCGTAGTCTTTTACCAGTAGACTGAATTGTCTTGCATGTGAGGACTAATGGCGTCCTAGTACACACATAATTTAGCACACTAGTAGGATATTGAATAAGAACTCAAAAAACTTGCATATAGCCATGAACTCAACTTGACTTTCAACCGGATATGATGTCCCAAACTGGCAATGTTGAGTTAAGGCAGCATTTTGTTCACGTGTGGTGTGAAAAAAGTACAATTTGTTCAGATGTAATGCAATAACAGTAGACAGTAGCAGTTTTTAATACCGTATTTTCCGCACTATCAGGCGCTTCGGAGTATAAAGCGCACCTTCAATGAATGGCCTATTTGAAAACTTTTCATATATAGGGCGCACCGCATTATAAGGCGCATAGAATAGAAGCTACAATAGTTGCTGCGGTTGCGCTATGAATCCACTAGATGGAGGTACGCTAAAGGGAATACAATACAATACAATGCAGTTTTATTTATATAGCGCTTTCACAACCACTGCAGCTGTAATAAAGTACTTTACAGAACATTTAAAATACTACATCCAAGAAGTCATAATATTGATCCATATAGAAGGCACATCGGATTATAAGGCGGACTGTCAGCCTTTGAGAAAATTGAATGCTTTTAGGTGCGCCTTATAGTGCAGAAAATACGGTATTTCCAATTTTGCCGAGCACTAACTGTTGACGCTATTTTTCTACGACTTGCAAAACATTTTTTTGAAGTGATCAAGAGAGCAGCTTTAAATGTTGCACTTTGAATCCAAGATAAATATTTCGAGTTATTTACAACTCATTTCAAGGTTATGCATAATTTGATATGCTGTATTTTGAGCGAAATAATAATAAAGATAATTACAGAGCAAACATCAGAAGCCTAATAGTTTGGAACAGAATCTGATATTTGTCTTGGACCAAAATGTTTTAGTGCCATTTACAGGCAAGCATTTCACACAGCAGCTACGATCACCTTCTCAGCAGGCAAGTAGCTGAAGGGGAAAACTAAACGCCAGTTGAAGTTTCCTTCCCCTGTCAGAGAATTGTAGTGGACGTCGGTCTCCTGGCGGTCGTCCTCCAAACCTTTCAGCCAGCTGTAGACGAGTAGAGTTGCTTACTGTCGCTACATGCCGACACGAAAGGCTAAAAAAACTACAGAAATTTACCCTTTGATATAAATATCACTGGACTTTTGACCAGTCAGGAAGTTGCTGTCCTCGAGAATGACGTCCTCGGTGTTCCAGATGATGACGCGTAACTCATACCTGCAACCACACATTCAATATTGACACCCCGTCCAAAAAAAAAAAAAAACCGGCATGCTTTGCCCGAGTGCCGTTCACAAACTGGTCTCACCCTTTGGGCTTGCGAGGGGAAATATCCACTGCAAGACCGGGATGAGGCAGGTCCAAAGGGAACATGTCAACCCACATTTGGACCTGACCCTGCATGTGCGGGCACACATACACACACGCGCTCACACACGTATACACAAAAGCCATGTAAACTCCTATTTAAGCAATCAAATAGGCAAAATTGAGCTTTGTTCTGCCTGCAACAAGGCAACACTCATGTTGGTACGATACTTAGGTTCTTCCGATAGTTCAAAACTCTGTTAAACCTGATCCATCCCGGGCCGAGCCTTGTGAAATAGTGTCCTGGTCTCGATATGTTCCGGTACCAGCTTGCATCCAACAGCTGGTATCTCAGCCCACCGATGCAGAATCTTCAGAGACAAGTGCTCGTAGGACTCTACCGGTTCCTCATCTGGTACGTATGCACACGTCAGGATTATCCTTTGGATCATCCGTAGTAGCAGAAACTGGGTCACGTACCTTCATGCGTGAAAAGCGTCTTGCCGGTGAAGACTTTGTCTGCCACGGTGATGCATCCTGGTCTGAAGTGAGGACCGTCCACGTTGTTTTCTCTGCACAGCTTTGACAGCAGCTCGGATGGCTTCAGACAATCTCTCCAGGCGTTATAACCTTCACTGTGGGACGCAATTAGCAGAGGCAGAAGGGATCTTCAACATTGTCAAGTTGGGCTCAACAGAACACTTTTTACTATTTGAGGATATTAACCCTTCAGGGACAGCGGGCCACTCCAGTGGACAGCTTATCATGTTGTCAGGTTACAGGGTGCATGAAAGGGTGAACACCAGTATCATATGATGTTGCTTAAGACAGAAGTCTTCGCACAGGTGAAAGAGTACAAAAAAATAGAAAGCACATGCAGTTTATTAATTATCCGAGGCTGAAAAAGATTTGATTTTTTTTTTCTTTCAAGTGACATATCGACATATCAAGATGTTAATTTTCTTGGTCACGTAAGCTAATGTTAAACCCACTGTTAAACCCACCTGTTAGTGATGGACAGAGAGATTCCGTCAGTACTAAAAGTTAGCAAAATGAGTTTGGGAAGTTTCTTTGGGATGGGGAAAAGGCCCTGTGATGAGATGACACAAGAGCCAATGACCAAGAAGAAAATGAAAGGTGCATTTCAACAGACAATAGCAGGAGGCCGACTTGAAATATGGATTTCGAGCTCGCTCCGCGCAATATGCGGCGAGCGTCTCCCTGATTTAGCGTGATGGTGAGGTATTTCACATACTTTGCTCTGTGGTGCCCTTATGTTGGCGCATTTTAGTGGGAGGCTGCTAATATTTCTTTCTTCGTCGCAATATCCACTGCTCCTGACCTTTTTAACTGTGTTATCGACCACCTCATGATCCGAGTCTGGGAGCAAGTTTCAGGTGTGTCATTTGGCAACCTCCACCTCACCGACCTTGAATACGGTGATGACACCACCCTGTTCAGCAAATCCCTCCAACACTTCAGCAGTGCTCTCTCCATATACCAAACAGAAGCAGCAAAGCTGGGCCTCCAAGTAAGCTGGCAGAAAACAAAACGTATGTATATTGGTGACAGACCCCACCCTTCCCCCGTTTTTTGGCTCAGAAGTAGTGCAATTCGTCGATTCCGTCATCTACCTGGGCTCCACCATTACAAGCAACAGCGATCTCAAGCTAGAGATCGACCGCAGACGCGGCCTCGCAGCTGCAGCTGTGCGGTCGCTATGGTGGCTATGCAAGGGAAGCTCAGCTTCCCCTAAAATGTCAAAAAATAAATGATCAAATATACGTGTGTACATACAATTGTGTGTACATGTCAGTGGCGTTCCGTCAGGGCCAGCAAGGCCTTCTCTGCTGGCCTAAACATTCTCAGAAAAGTAAATTTCATAAATTTACTTTTCTGAGAATAACATAAATTTAATTTGTTATTTTAGTTTCATAAATATGTAAACAAAATTATTCTCTGTATTCTTTACGTCATATTATTTCCACTTAGTCGAGTGGCTTTCAATGTTATTTTAAATAACATTGAAAGCCACTCGATAAATATCTTATTTATCATGGTAG